GGAGCCCGCTCTGCTCGCAGCACCGCCCTGGCTGGGTATCTAGGCTCCAGCCATGCACGGGGCTGAGAAGAAGCTGTGGGGCAGGTGCTGGGTGGGTGGTGAGGAAGGTCTTGGCTGCCCGGCCTGTGCTAGTCTCTGAACAGCCTGCTGCACCGTGGGCCACATGCTCCAAATGTGGCCAACTCTGGGTGCATCTCGTCTCAACCCCACTCACTTCCTTATCTGGAGCCCAGTTCTGCCATTTAAACAAACAGGTTTGCAGAGACCGTCTCTGCCTCCTGGGAGACTGAGATCTCTCCACCTTGCATATTCCCCCAGTAGCTCAGGAGGTTGGGCAGATCCTGCGGGGTCAGAGGCTGATGGGGTTGGCAGGCTGCATCCCGTACTTGGTGCCCTGCACCAAGCCGTCCGCTTACACTTCTCCTCTCTGCAGCCAGCTTCAAGCGGCCCGTTGTGATCCTGGGCCCCATTGCTGACATCGCCATGGAGAAGCTGGCAGCTGAGATGCCCAACCAGTTTGAAATTGCCTGTAAGTGCAATGGAGTGTCTGCTCCTGCCAGGCCTATCAGGGGGTAAGGAGGGAACACAGGGCTTCCGCCTGGACCAGGATTAGGGGGAGTGAAGGGACCCTGGCACCATCCAACTAATGCTCAGCAGCTGCTGCAGTCTGGAGCCCTGGTGCCCACAGCTGAGGTCCTAGTTGCTTCCTTGGCTTGGGCCTGGGCCTTCCCGTTTGCACATGGGATCCCCCCCTCCATGCTAGCTGCTATACAGCACTAACCTTATGGCCAGGAGTGCCCTGGGCTGCCTGCAGCCTGAGCAAATGCGTCTGGAGCCTTCCACTCTCTTGCCCCTGCTGGTACCCAGTCTGGGATGGGTCAGGCTGTCTTTTGTGCAATGCAGCCGTGGGCTTGGCTGGGTCATCAGGCCACCAGGGCTCAGCACTCCCACAGTGGCACTTGGGGAGCATCCAGCTTGAACAGCTGCTTGCACCCTCCCCGCCACGGTTCTCTTGTTCCCTAGTGAGTGTGGCCCGAGACACGGGGTCATCCAAGGTCATCAAGCTGGACTCGGTGCGGCAGATTGCTGAGCGGGTGAGTCACCGGGGCCAGGAGCATGCAGCGCTCTGCCCTTCCCGAGCCTCTGCTCTGGGCCTGTGGGGCAGGGGAGGTCCAGAGGGCTGTTGGTGCAGGGGTAGACACCCTACAGTATGTGCCCGGCCATGTTGCCCAGTCCCAGCCCTTCCTGGCTGTCAAGAGGTTTCTCACTCCCTCTCCCCCTGCAGGACAAGCACGCCTTGCTGGACATCACGCCTTCGGCAGTGGAGCGCCTCAACTACGTGCAGTACTACCCCGTGGTGGTGTTTTGTGACCCAGACAGCCGACAGGGCATCAAGGCCCTGCGCCAGTGGCTTGTGCCTGACTCCAAGAAGAGCTCTCGGCGCCTCTACGCCCAGGCTATGAAGATGAAGAAATACTGCAGCCACCTCTTCACTGCCACCATCAGCCTCAGCGGGAGCAGCAACACCTGGTACCAGACCCTGAAAGACCTCATCAGGACACACCAGGCCCGGCCTATCTGGACAACAGAGGAGCAGGTGCCCGCAGGCGCCCTCATTATACCGTGCTTCCCCTGTAGCTCCCACATGCTTTGGCCCCTTTGCTTGTACTGACAGCGCAAGCCCTCCCCCTGGGCTGGCAGCAAGGCCCAGATGTCCATGGGCATGATGTCCTGGCAGAGCACAGCTGGAGCCTGTGTGGGTGGCCAGGGCTGTCTCCCTGCATGGCATCTGGTCTGGGTTTGCTGCCTAGCTCCCCAGCACTGAGCACTGCAGAGGCACCCTGTAGGGATAAGCAGAGCCAGGGAACAGGTGGCCAGAGGTGCAGGGCCTAGGGAAGGCCATCATCCAGATGCCAGGCTGACCAGGTGGCCCTTCAGAAGCTGGCTCTGGCTGCTGGTGGCCATCCGCATGTGCACTTTCCTGTCTCTGCCTCTGCCTACTCCCCTCCCACCCCCCAAAGATACGCACACAGGGCAGGGGTGCATGCAGGGTGCCAGTTAACCTGTCTCCTCTCTGTGCAGGTGGACGCCTCTCCTGCGGAGAACCTGGACCTGCTGAACCAGCAGGGTGCCACGGGCTTGGGCTCAGGCTACCTGACCTGTGACAGCCGTGCCAACAGTGACTATGAGGACACCGATGGCGAGGCAGGTGCCTACACAGACAATGAGCTGGAGGATGTCTATGACCACCCGGCGCTGGCCCGGTCATCGGAGCCGGCACTGGCCCGGTCATCGGAGCCGGCGCTGGCCCGGTCATCGGAGCCGGTGCTGGCCCGGTCATCGGAGCCGGTGCTGGCCTGGTCATCGGAGCCGGCGCTGGCCCGGTCATCGGAGCCAGCAGAGCCAGACCCGACCCATAACCTGAGTGAGCGGGTGGCAGCTGCACTGGCCTATCCCACCACACAGGTAAGCTGGGCCATTGGGCAAGGGCACATGGGCCTGTTTGTGATGAGTGCCCCCCAAGCCAAGCTCTGCTCTGTGGGCTTCGGCTACATCATGTGGAAGGTGTCAGTACCGTCCCTTCAGAGGGGGCACCAAGGGGCTGTAAAAACTCGGGCTTGGGCATGGGATGTTCCCTGTTCTTGGCACATGTTTGTCTGGGGCTGCGTTAGCTCAGACTGCTGCAAGTGCAGAGCTCCAGGGCTCCTGGATTCCCCAAGCTCCTTGGACCCTGCCACACCTGTTGGGAGGGGCTGAAAGGGGAAGCCTGGCACTAGTGTCCCTCTGTGCTGAGCCCCTGCCAGGGCAGCACCAGGGGCTGCAGCATGCTAGCCCCCCCTCCCCCTTCCCCCCAAAGCCCTGCAGCCTTTAACTCCTTCACTTCCACTTTCCCAGGAAGGAGACCAACAAGCTCAGGGCCAGTGGAGACAGGAGTACAGCAGCATGCGGTAAGTGCAGGGAGGGACCCTCCAGGGACAACAGACTCCTTCAGTAGGGGTAGATGACTGCTTGGGTTGGGGAATTGCTGCTCAAGACAGCTGCTCCTGCCCCAAGCCTGGCCCCGCTCCCTGGGTTTTTTACTTAGGCAGGATGAGATCCAGGCTGGAGCGATGGATTCAGTTCTGGGATCCTTTTAACCTCACAGATCCCTGTGGTGGGAGCTCTGTCACTCAGTAGACTTGGGTGAGGATGAGGGAAGCAGTTTGGGCTGATACTTAGTCCCAGGCCAGGTTTGAATGCAAGATAACCATGGGCCACTAGCAGCTCTTCAGTCTAGGGACTTGCTGCTGGGCACAGTCTCTCCCATCAGGTGTCTCCAGGTGATCTTTATGCACATCTTAGCCTGGGCCTCGTGGTCCCCAGAACTGGGATCAGCCCAGGCCGTGGGCACTGCTGTCCAGGACAAGGGGCAGGGCCGGTGCTGTCTACTGAGACTTGGGAGGAGTGAGCTGGGCAGGAGTTTCTGGCCAACAGCTATGAAGCAAAAACCCTGGGGCTCCGAACTGCCCATATGATTCTCCGTACCCGTCACTGGGTCATTGCTGTCACCTGGCCAGGATGTGATGCCAGCCTCTTCCCACAGGGAATACGAGCATGATGCTCTGAAGAAGAAGTTCACGCGGGCCAGGGACTATGATTCTGACCAGGATGAAGACTATGACTGGGGCCCGGCCACTGATGTGTAACAATGAGGACTTTGAGGACTTGTTCCCCTTGGAGCTGTGGTCTGGCCCTTGCCACTCTGCTGTGCACTCCCCAGTCCAGCTCCATGAGGGGCAGCCCCAGGCCCAGCTCCATCCTGTACATGCTCTGCTGGCCTAGCCCTGATCTGCCCCTCGAGGGCTTTGCCCCATCCGCAGACCAGCATAGCTCTGGTTCCGTCTAAACCATGGTATCCGCATCAGCGCAGCAAACAGCTGGGCCAGGCCTAGTCTAACTGCACCTGCAGTCTATGGCTGTTTACACATGAGCCATGTGTGTGGCCAGGCCCCAGGTCTTTGCCCTGTCCCAGCTGCCTGCAGTAACACCAACCCAGTGTCATCTCAGTGACATGTGGCACCAGGCTCCCCCAGCTCCGGCCCCTGCAAGTCTACGTGTGTGACCCTACAGCCAGAGCAGCTGCGTGTACAGTGCTGTACAGACACAGGCAGCCTTTCCCCAGGGTTTGGTTTGTAATAAAGGGGTCCTTTTCACTAGTGCTTGCTGTTTCTGTTCAACAGTGGGGGTGCATTGAAGGGTTTAGATCGGGGCTGTCCAACCTCTCAGCAGGCCCCAGCAGGGGCTGCTCTGCAGAGCCATAGGCTACCTGTCCTCCACCTCCCTGCCCCTGCCATTGCCCTTTCACTGCTGCACCCTCAGCTCCCCTGCCCACATCCCCTGGGACCAGAGCAGGCAGGGAAGGCTGGAGGAGAAGCAGGGAGCCTGGAGACTGGCTGTATTGAAACAGCTAGTGTTGGGGGACTGGCAGCTGAGCAGGAACCTGGGGGCTGCAATTTAACCTCCTGCAGGCCACATGGGGCCCACAGGCTGCCATCTGGACAGCCCCCGGCCAGCTGGCAAGGGTAGGCTGTAGGAAGGATCCCAGGGCCCAGAGCAGACCTGGCAGCAAGCTGCTATCCCCTCTGCCAGCACTCACGCACCAGTCTCTCTACCACACCCTTTCCACTGGCACCCATGGCCGCAAGCTGCATGCTCTAGGAGACACAAGAAAGCAGACGGCTGCTCCCATGGCAGCTCACAGAAGCTGGGAATGACCTGGCCTCATGCTGCCAGAGGGCCCATTAGCCTCTGCATGTCCCTGGCAACAGCAAAGCAGCATGTGGCTGCCGGAGGTCCCTCTGGGACAGCTGGAAGGTCATCCCAAAAGAACTACAGCCCTTGGAGCTCCTAGGATTGTAAAGGTGAGGCTGTGCATGGACTGGCCACAGACTCTCCCCACAGCTTTAAACTGGCCACTGCACAGATGCCCAGGCAAGAGTCCATCCAAGCGCAACCACCAGTGAAAGTCCCAAAGAGCCTTTATTGCTGCACCCACCAACCAGATGGGATAAAGTGACAGAGCTGGTGCTCCCTGGGGCAAAGGGAAACCTCTGCCAACAGCTCCCACAGCAGACTCTCTCCATGCATCCCCCACCCCATGTCCTGAGGAAGTCTGGCAACCACTTTCTGCAGGAGCTGAACCTAACAGCAGGGCTAGACGGAGCAGTGAGTCTGGGGGTGGAGCAGGCAGCCTGGACCAACTTGGGGGACAGCAGCCCTCAGAGGAGCTGCTAGCTATAAGGCAGTTAGTGTTTCTGCCCTCAGCAGGCAGGGATGACAAGGCTGGGGCCTCTGCCTGAGAAGCAGAACGTCACAGTGTAAGGTCACAACCCAGGGCAGCCAGGGCCTTGCCTGAACATTACTGTGATCCATCTCTTCCAGTGCAACACCCTGGGGGCACCTCTGGTTCTGCAGCAGTAGCGTTTTCCTGCTAACGCAACCTGCTGGGTTAAAGGTCCTTGCACGTGAGACTAGGAGCATTCGCATGGGCTGCTCTGAACACAGAACTGCCCTATACTCCAAGCTTGAGGGAAGGAGAGGGAGCCGAGAGAGAGGCTCTACCTTGCCCTGGAGCTGTACAAGAAGGACCAGGATTGTGCCCTGTCCAGATGGGCAACTTGTGCTGCATAGAGCAGCTGAGTGAGTGGGGTGCAAGGCAGCAAGTGAACTGAGGTACAGGAGAAAGGCCAGGGCCCCTGCATAAGCCCTGAAACAATACTAAGGCCAAAAGCAGGGTGCCCTCACATGGTGAGGCCGCATAAAGCACCTTCTACAAAAGCCCCAAGGTTTTGCCCTCATGTCCCTCACCTGGGGCCCAGGACAGGAGAGCCTGAGCAGGCAAAAAGAGTCAATGCCAGACAGGGTGGAGGCCGAACACACCCTTTTCTGGCCCAGCTCTGGCCTCTCTCGCAGGCAGCTCTTTCCTCCCAAACCCTAAAGTGAAGCAGGTAGAACATGTGTGGTGCCAGCCAGGCAGTCAAAAGCAAACTCCTGCTCTTCAGAGAAATATGGGCTGCTCCTGGCCCGTCAGCAAACGATATGTGGAGGCCGGCATAGTCTTGATGTGGACCTAGAGAAACAGGGCCAATCAGCCACAAGAACTCCATACAGATGCTCTCCCTGACTCTGAGTCCTGGAGAGTACAACCACTGCCCCCTCCCCTGCATCGGGAGAACGGACCCAGGGAACAGCTTTTTGAGAAGAGCCTCACACACCCTTGCCCCTCCAAGGTCCACAGATGCTGGAGATGTCGGCTGTACTTCCATTTGCTGAAATGCAGCTACCCCTAGAGCAACACTGAGCAGCCCTCAACTGTGCCCAGAGGCACGTGCACAAAGCAATGATGACAGGACACGAGGCCAGAAGACTGACTGGCCCACGTGGGGTGTGTGCTGACCCACCGGAGGGATTTTCAGTCATATCCCAGGATGATCCCCAGGCCCCGGCTGGAGATGTGCAAGGGGCAGGCAAGCTGCTACACATTGGTGTTAGGCTAAGTCCTTGTTCTAGCCCCTCTGGCACAGGTGACTGGTGGGGGGGGAGGCATGTGCCCCACCTGAGATTGGCCCCCAACTCGGCACTACTCAGGACGGGGCAGTTTTTTTGCTGCACAGGCTGGCGGTGTGTTGGGGAGGGGGGCACTAAACCGCAGCACAGAAGTAGAGGAGTTGATATGGGGCTTTTGGCCCACCCCACAGCCCGCCCACAAATCATGCCCCCTCCAGACTCAAGAGACACCAGTCACCCCTGCCCACTGGCCTCCCTCCTTGTACTGGAGCTGTAGAGCACTGGTGCATGGCTCATGGGCTGCCAGACCCCTGACAAAGATGCCTCAAGTTACATCAAAGCTGACAGTAAAATGCGACACTGACAGTGCTTCAGCATAGTCCTGGCTCTGTTCTGCTGCCTGTGGGTCAGCACTGGCTGGGACTGCCGCTGCAGAGGGTTCTCCTGCTCTGGGGACACTGGAGCTCCTGCTTTGCCGCCTATGAGGGCTCAGACCAGAGGACAGGGAACCCCACTGAGCCACTGCACCTAGAGTTCCAGAGCAGGCTCACCTACTCTGGGGAGAGGTGGGGGAAGATTTTGCCGTAGATCAGGGATGCTCAACCCCCAGCATGCAGGCCAGATCTAGCCCACAGAGCCCTGGCATCCAACCTGCACAGCAGGGTCAGGAAATGTAACAGCAGGGGAGCAGTGTCAGTTAATACTGCCACCCCTCTCCCACTTCCAAATTCCTAAGCCCTGTGTGGCCAGGCCATGACACCCCCCCCCCCCACCGCCCCATGCAGCTGAATTGGGGCTAGTCCCTGCCCTGTCCCCCCCCCCCCCCCTGCCACTGAATTGGGGCTAGTCCCTGCCCTGTCCCCCCCCCCCCCCCTGCCACTGAATTGGGGCTAGTCCCTGCCCTGTCCCCCCCCCCCCCCCTGCCACTGAATTGGGGCTAGTCCCTGCCCTGTCCCCCCCCCCCCCCCACCGCCCCATGCAGCTGAATTGGGGCTAGTCCATGCCCTGTCCCCACCCCCTGCACTGTTGGCCATGCCCCAACACAGCCAGATTGGGCCCATGGGCTGGATCTGGTCTGTGGATGGGCTGAGAACTGCCCATCTGATCTGTGGGACAAGAAGGTTCAGCATTATTGCAACTGAAGAGAGTGATGGAGGGACAGGGGGACAGGACATTCTCTGCAGGACAGGACAGCCTGTGCAAGGAGGAGCCAGGGCCAAGTGACACCAGGGCTATCCGTTCCAGTAGGGGGCACAGCTCCTGCAAAGCAGGGGCAAGAGCAGAGCTATGACCCTGAGAAGCAACCTGCTGGGCCAGCTGGCAGGGAGCTGGAAGGAAGCGAGGGCAGCAGGAAAGAGGACTCAGCAAGTCCTGGGCCTGGCCTGTGGGTGGGCTCACCTCGCTGACTGCCTGTGTGAGGATCTGGATGATCTTCTCGTGTGGTGTGGCCACCACGCTCTGCCCGTTGATCTCGATAATGCGATGGCCCACGCGGATGCCACCTTTCTCTGCGATCCCCCCTCTCATCAGGCTACAGATCTGAGGAGCAGAGAGCCTGGTCAGAACCAAGGAGTGCCCACCCCAGGGAACCAACATCCCAGACACCGCTGCTGCCACGGGCCAGTGAGTCTTACTAAGCCCTGAGTGGAGCCAGGAGACCCCAGACTCAAGCTGCCCACACAGAGTCCAGGCTGTACTTCCTGCCCTGCTGCACCAGCCTTAGTGCCTCCTCATGGCAGAGGTATGGGGCTGCCTGCTACATGTTTGCTTTTGGGGCAATAAGAAAGCATGTGGGTGAGCTGGAGAGGAGAGAGCCATGGTCACCAGAGCCAAGGCCAGTGAACCCCTTGCACAGGGGGTTACCATGCAGCTGCTGCTGTGGTGGGGGTGAGGAGACAGTTTCTGAGCCAGGCTTGCTGTGTGGTGGAATAAAGGTACCAGGCCTCCCTTCGCAGCCCAAACCTACACTGCTCCCTGTGTGGGCAACACCTCATTCAGGACTGGGTAACACCCACGCACATTGCTGCCCTTGGGCAAGCAACAGTTCTCCTGCAGCAGGAAGCCGCCATTAGTGACACAAGGCCACAATCCTTAGGGTTCCTCTGGCTGAGAGATCCCCCTCCAACACCAAGGACACCCGCCAGCAGACCTGGAGCAGCAGGTCTTAAGTTTTTGCCTCTCCCAGGGCCAGAAAGTCTCTTGGGCCACTGACCACAGCATTGTTCTATCTTCCCTGGTCTGCCTGGGCACAGAAGGGGTGTTTGGAGTTGCAGCTCAGACCACAGGTGAACCGGGCTGGGTGCCCCCCCAGCAGTCCACCCCCACACTTCCCCAAGACTCCAGCCCTCACGTGCTCCCCTCCTCACAATGCCATTCTCCACGCAGAAGCCCAGCTGGTACTTGGAGTCTGGGCGGCGGATGATCGCTGTAGTGACAGGGGGGCAGTGCACGATGCTCAGGGTCACCTCTGTCTGGTGCTTCAGGTCCTGCCAGAAGCAAGAAGGGAAGAGAAAGACTCCTGAGCTCTCCTGAGAGCTGTTTCAGGGGACTGAACAACCCCAATCCCCGTTCACAGTAAGGAACTCCTGGCTCCCAGGCCTGTACATGCTTGCAGAGGTCATCTGAGTAGCCCCAGCCTCCTTGGCCCATCCCCACAGGTTCTACCCTTGGCTCTATCCCCACAGTGCTAGGACACTCTCCCCCAGGTTTCTGGATCCTCAGGATCTGGGCACAAAGTGTTTCAACCCCCCAGTGGGAAGAGGATGACTCTCTCCAAGGATGTCCTTCACCTTCACTGTCCTCTTCTTACTCCCAACCGACTGCTGGTCCCACCTCTCCCCTGCTCCCCAACCAGAGGCCCAAACTAAGCACTAGTGACATCCATGGCTCAAGGTGCTACTAGTCCAACAAGAGATTTCCTCTGCAGAGCAGCTGGCTGTCCCCACCCACACAACACTCACCCTCTCATCCTGCTTGCTACAGGACCACCTGCCAAGGCAGTACACTGGCCCACAGTGCTCAGCCTGGCTTAGAAGCCCTGTAAGCTGGCCAGCACCAGTGGCAGGAGAGTGCACAGCCCTATGTTCTGGCAGCTCCTGTGCTGAACTGTCCCGCCCCAAGCCTCACCCGAATGATGCTCTGGCACGTGCTGAGAGGCAGCCCCACCAAGCTGGTCCCATTGACGGACATGAGCCGGTCCCCGATGCTTAGTTCCCCAGATTTCTCTGCAGGACCCCCATGCATGAGGTTGGCGATGACCACGGTGGGTAGGATGGACCCCCAGCCTGACTCCACAATGGCAATGCCCAGGATCTCCCCCTTCTGCTTCTGGATACAGACCTGCATGCAGGACAGCACATTATGCACCACAGGGAGTCCAGGGGCTGAGCTGACTCTCAGCAGATGGACTGATCTGGTCCAGCTGAATGCCAACCAGAGCACAGTGCCTCTGGAGCTCAGCCAGGGGCAGGACACAGCACAAGCACAAGCCATGTCAGGCTTGGCCTCCCCAACCAGAGGCAATGAAGGGAAGAGGCACAGCACTGACCCTCTGGGGTCTCAGCCAGCCCTGCCCATATTTATTCCAGCAGAAGGCCTGCCAGGCCATACAGAGCCAGGCTGGCACTGGGGAGCCAGGGGGTCCATGACCACTCCAGTCCAAGTCCAACCCAGCAGGAGACTTGCTGGCAGCAGGTTATGAGCACTAACCATGTGGGACCCCCACTTACCCTAGTTCCAGCCTCTCCCCACAGGAAACAATGTAAGACAGGGGTTGGCAACCTATGGCCCACAGACTGGATCCTGCCATGGAGCCATGGCTTCAGCAGCATTTTGCACTGGAGGGCTCTCCCTGCCCTGTGTCTCAGCCAAGTGTTGGGGCTCCAGGGGAGGGGGCTTTCACCGTACTATGCCAATGCTGGGAGGTGGGGAGAAGTGGTGGCAGCAGCTGGGTCCTATCATCTGCCTGCCCCCAACTGAACTGGATTATTCATCCCCCCCTGCCAGACCTCACTCTGGGGGAAGGCCAAAAAGGGGCTCTGGTAAGATTCATGGCCACTTCAATCCTAGCCTCTTCCAGCAGGAGGCCAATTCCCAGAACCAGGGAGCCCTTCAGGGGGCCAAGGTAAAGCCCTTGCTGCAAAACGACTTGAGCACACATGCACGCAGACTTGCCCATGGGCTGTTCTTACCTCCTTGCTGTTTTCCTGCTTGGAGAAGTGGGCCAGGTCCCCATTATAAAGCTCCTCATCCTCTGGGCTGTGGCCCTGCTGGCGGAGTCTCAGCTGGCTCGGGTCAATGCTGTTGACTTGCAGGAAGTGCTGGTAGGCTACGCTGAAGGCCTGCCCAATGGCCTGGGCAATCAGCTGTGCCTGTGGAGGACAGCATCCTGGGTCATTTGGAAGAGCTCAGCATGCAGGGGTGTGGTACTAGGAGCTGGGGTCACCTACCTGCACACCCACTGCCAGAGCCCAGTGGCTTGAAGGGATCAAGCCCAACCCAGTGCCCATCCCTTTGGTCTGGACTCCCCCAAGGGACACAGTCACAGACTGAAACCCTGCTACCCTAGCTATAGGGCAGCCTGTGACCCATGGGGCTAGGACAAAGCTAACTCCTGACTGCTCCCCACCTGGGCAAGGCACTTCTCTTGCCTATGCTGGATTCCAGGAGGTTTTGAACCCAAGGGTGCTTGCAGTAAGGTATGCGACCCGTGTCCCTCCCAGACCCACATACAGGTACAGCCACCACAGTGCCTGCTGGAGGTCCAGCAGTGAATCTCCTGGCCATGGCACCTAGGACCTCAGAGCCGACCCTTGTATCACTCCCCTCGCACACATCCTGCATGATGAACTTTCAAATGATGCACCCCCCAGCCCCGCCTGGGTTTCATGGGGGAGCCCAATCTATCGCACTCACATCAGCCGAATGGAAGACATGGCAGATCATCTTATAGAGCCGCTTCTCCCCCGAGGCTTCTGTCCGCCGTGGCAGCTTCCTACGTGCCATCAGCACAATGATGCTGCCAATGTCCGCAATGTACGAGATGGTCTGGAGCGGATGGTCCATCATGGCCTCCTGTAGGAGGCAGCGTTATGTAAAAAACTCTGCCAACCACCATGGGCAGCTGGAAAGGCAGGAGGATGATGGCAGCACAGGCCATAGGAAAGGGAAGCTTAACTAACTGAGGAGGACAAGGCTCTTTTGGCTGTTTAAAACTGACTTAGTTGATTATGGTTAGCATCTGTATGACTCAAACACACAGCCAGGAATTAGGAGAAATCCTATCTCTGGTAAAGTTTTGGCGTTCCTTCGAACAAATTCCCTCATTCCAGTTTTCCAGGTCCTGCAGAGAGCTCACAGAAAAGCCTGTAGGGACAAAACTGTGCATGCCTCATAACACAGAAGGCAAATTCTCATTGGCCTTCTCTATCTAGCAACAATCTCTTCATCTCTTGTGAAGCAGCAAACCGGCTGAGTTACACAGCTGCAAAACCCTGTAGGTATACTCGGAGTTAGGCTTACTAACTATGGGAGTCATCTGATGTCTACTGGGGTCATCACATTGTTCTGGACCAGGTTTGAATTATATTAGACATACACATGCACGTATGCCCCCACCCGTCTAAGAAGTGGCTGATTTCTGCAGTAGCTCTGTGATCCTCACTGGGGCCATCTGAAGTGCTTGGGGTCCCTCCCAGAGGAAAGGTGCCTTTATCAAGATCTGAATAGGACACGAGACACCTTTCCCACATGCAATCATCACTCAGTGCAAGTGACATGGTTTCACACTCAGGATGTTTTCTGACATGGGCCAAGCACCTGGCCGGAGCCAAGGAAAACAAGGTGCAGAGCAGCATTTCCTGATGGGATAGGATTCTAGTAAGGACAGGAACATGCCTGCTAGCCCCAGCAGAGAGACCTGCCTCGTAAGGATATCACATTTCCTACACACCTGTGTGTCGGCTGTAAGGACCTTGATCCTCTGCGTGGAGACAAACAGATCCACCTCTGTCATGGGCTGGGACTCTCCCTCGGGTGCCTGCAGCACAGGAACAACACAGCACCTGTGTAAGTGGCTACTTACAGTGTCATGGCAGGCAGGCAGAGCAAGGGACTTGGAGCCAGGACTTCAGAGGCCTCCTTTTGGCTCTTTCACTGACTGTACAATAGCAGGACAGTCCTGTCCCCCTGACTGGGCCCCTGGAAGATAGGGTAATGATCCTGCCCCTGGAAGAGCAACAGATCACAAAAAACAAGCACTCCGAGATGCTGTAACAGGAAGGGACAGACATGAGCAGTGGCTACCATGATTCACAACCTGTAGGCAGGCAGGAGCCACAGTCAGAAAGCTTGCCTCTTCCTCTCTGCCTCAGCTTCAAAGGACGCATGCCCAGTATCTACAGGAAATGCTTTAGGTGGCCACACTCTAGTCCCATGATAGGGTGTTATCCTTCCTTTATTACAGGTAGAGAAACTAAGGCACAGAGCAAGAGAGTGACTTGCCTAGTGTCACCCAGCAGAGGAGGAGGAATACAAACTACCAGGCCTGTGCTCTAACCACTAGCCTATTCTCCCACAATGCCCTGCATTCCTAGTGCTGGATTCCTGTTTAAATCTATCCTCACCAGCTCAGAGAAATGGACCTCTGTATCAAGCTGTGCTCTGCTACTGATTGCACAGGAGTGCCCTGCCCTGGATGCTGCCTACTCCTGCTTCATGCAGACTTCAGTACAAATATTGCTCTGGAGTCAGGTAAAATCAGCAGCAGTCTCTTCTGGAGCAGCAGGGAGGGGTGCCCCATTCCTGTACCCCCTAATAAAGCCAGTTATTGGCAAGGCCCAGACTTCACCGGCTGCATGCAGTCTAGAACACACACATGGGAATGGACAAGCCTCCCAAAGCCAATACACGATTGCCTACTATGCCTGCTCCCAGGCACAGCTTGGCCCAACTCACCCTGGGAGCTCATCTCTGACAGGCAGGGGTAGAGAGGACTGAAGATGGATGAGGGCGGAGGCTGCAGTCTGCATGCCTGGGAGAGGGCAAGGTGTGTGAGGATGACCATCACCATCGCTCCCTGGCTGGCCTAGGAGAGTGCTGCCATCTCTAGAGGCCACTGTAGCTGGCATGCCCGAACCAAGCTGGGCTACAGCTCCCAGCAGGCAGGAGTCACTGTCTGTGACTATGGGGAGCCACCCAGAGCACTCTCACAACAGCTGCCTGCAGGTCCTGGCATGGAGGACAAGAGTTGAATATGAGCTGCAGCTGCTCCTCGCTCAGGGATCACGGACTTTGCTGAGTTGCTGATACCCAGCTCCCTCTGGCACCCACCCACCTTGATCCTGTCCACAGCCTCCTGGGCCTGCGCCATCCGGACACTGGTTGGGGGGTTCCTCTCTGACACAAGCTGTGTGGAGCCCAAGTATTTTGCTCCAAAGATCACTCCATCCAGTAGGTCCTCTGGGTCACAGGGACCTGGAACTGAAGCACACAGACAGCCATTAGACAAAACAGGACTCCCCCCACAGCCAAACTAGTCCTTGGAAGCAGCAGGCCTTGCCTCTGCCAACTGCAACAGGGACTGTGGGTTTGGAGTAGGGTCTCCCCCCACCATGCTAGGGCCTTTCATCTCAGCCCATGTGCAGGTAGCCATGTATTCCCAGGTACCAGCAGACCCAAGCATCTGGGTCTAACTCCAACCTCCCCTGAGTGTTGCCAATGCTACTGCTCCTCAGTTACCCTCATGAGCCAGATCAGCTCAGGCACCAGCTGCCCACTCCACTGACCCATGCTTCTGGAGGGAAAAAGGCAGAATAGGGCCAGGGCAGCTGCCTCTGTCTCTGGGAAGGAGCGGGACACCCCCACTTCTCCCTGAGATGTTCATCTAGAAGGCCCAGTGACTGGTTAGCTGGAGCTGGGCATGCTGGACCCCACCTGGCAACTCCTCTTGCTGCATTTGTTACTGGAAGGGCACATCAATGGCCCCAGAAACCAACAGCACCAGCAGCAGCTCTGCCAGGTCCCATGACTGCCTTGCTTGTGGGCCTGAGTCAGTACAACCCATTTGGAAGGCAAGAAGGGAGCTCAGTCTCTGTGGCTACTTGGGTCCTCAGCGTCCCCACAGAGGATGACCCCTGTAGAGACAGCAGAGATGGGGGTTACATGCCAGGATTCTGGACTTAGACCTTCTACACTTGTTCTATACAGGTGGCAAACTGTTATTTGTGACAAAAATCAGGATTCAAACACATGACCTGGAGCCATTAGATTCTATCCCTGCTCCCCCAGGCTGGCCCCTCAAAAGTCTCCTGAGCTAGGATGCCAGACACTCCTGCCATTGTAGCCTTCCTCTCAGTGTATGTCTAAGTACTCTAGGGGAGAAGATGCCTTTCCCAGTCCTGACTGGAACCCACCCCTGGGACCTGAATCACCCCAGAGAGAGACAGCAGAACCACAGCAGGTGGACTGGCAGTTCGGACTCCAGGGAGACAGTGCCATGAATAGTGGGCTGTGCCAGGTAGTAAGCAGTCAAGTTACTCACCCTCTTTGAAGGCCGGATAGGAGGACAGGGATTCTTTAGTCTGTAAAGCAATCATAACGTCAGTTAACATCTGCTCCTAGAGCCAGGGGGACTCCGCAGGCATGATGCGATTGCTAGCTGCTAAGAACCAGAGCCACTGAAGACTGAGTAAGAAATAAGAGCAAGCAAGATAAGCTGGAGGGGTCCAAAATGCTGAGAATTGAGAGGGATCATTTGGGGTGGGAGAACAGCGGGTAAAGGGAGAGCCTCCACATGAGAAAGTGTAAGGAGCAGGGAGGGACAACAGGTAAAGGAGGTGAGGGGGGCCCCACCTGAGGTTGGGGAGAAGGCAGTGGGGTCATGGAAAGGCCCTGGATGATGCATGTGTGGGATGCAGGCCTGACCCTGTTTGCCTACAAGTGGGAACATGGAGCTGCTGTCAAGCAGAGGCCTCTGGTTTAGCTCAGCAGCCACAAGGAGTATGTGCTAGGCCTGGCTGAGCCAGCAAGCTTGGTCAGCGAGGTGGAGTCAGTCACTCCGGTCAGCTGTGAGGACAGGGCAGGACACAGGGCACATGCTCCATTTATACATGGCTAGACCACAACACAGCTCCCACCAGCTCCCCAGACCTGCTCTCTCCACATGGGAGCCGAGAAGACAGGATGTGTGCAAGTCTCATGGCAGGGGACTGAAAAGGTCTGGGCTGGCCCCTACCAAGGCTCTGGGATTCCCAAGCCATCATGCAGGATACTAGGCTGTGCACATGATAGGAGAGGAACGTGATGGGCAAAAGAAGCCCTCTGCACTCACAGGAACCTTTGACTCTCCCCTCACATACCCCAAAGAGCACCTCAGAGGAGAGGAGTTAGGGCAGCTGCTCTCTGCATCCTTCCCCCCTCAAGCTGAGATGCTTTCCCAACTCCTCCAGTGCCTCAGGCATGCAAAGAACTCACAGCTGCACCCCCGCTGGGGGCCTGCTCTGGTCCTTGGGTCCGAGGTGGGGACGTCACTGTCCATGCAGGCTCTGGAGGGCCATCCCAGCTACATGGGGACAAGCAGGCAGAGTCTTCCTCACAGACACCCTGGCTCTGATACCAATGGCAGGAGTCTTCCGTCTTCGAGGTGCCCAGCTCCACTGTGCTTTCATCCACCTTCAAAGCCGTGGGGTTTTCTTGGGACTGCAAGACCTCAAGGTTGGTCCCAGCCAGAACATCCGACCTGGCAAGGGGTGTCTCAGTGTCTGTCTCCACTGGGAGCCCTCCCTCATAGCGCAGGAGGCTCAGCAAGTCCTCCCTGTTGGCCTCTGCAAACAGCAGGCCATGGCACTCCCGGCTTCTCCGGGAGCAGGTGGAGTGCGGGGCACGGCAGGGTTGTGTTGCCAGGCCTCTCCCTGTGGCAATATGCAGGGGGCAGGGATGACATTCATCTAGCCACCCCTGACAGATGCCGTAAGCCCCTGACGCCCCCTTGCAGGGAAGCACGGCATCTCTTTCAGAACAGCCCACACCACAGTCACCCACTTCTGAGGGTGGCAGCAGGCCATCCTCCGAGGTGGGCGAGTCATCACGGAAGCTGGGGCTGAGGGACTGGAGCTGGGCAAGGAGGCCCTGGATCTCTAACTGACCATCCTCATTGTTATCAGTCCATTCCTCACCTTCCAGGCAGGAACCAGCCTCTGGCTCCTCATCCAGATCCATGCAAACCAAGTCACTCTGTCCTGAGCTTATTGGGCCTCTGGTGCCTCCTACCCTATGAGGGGGTTTCCAGTCTGCATCCGTCCCAGGTACTGTGGCATCCTCACTGCTTTCCATTGCCCCACCCAAGTCCCTGCAAACTTCTGCACCTGCTTCCTGGAGGTCCAAGCCCAGGAGAGTCACTGAGCTAGAGGCTGCATCTGGGCCTCCCAACACTATGCTCTCTGTGCTTTCAGAGACAGCCACTTTCTCAGTGGCAGCACCAAGCCTCAGCTCTATGTCAGAGGCAGAGGAGTGAAGCTCAGAGCACAGGGCACTGAAGGCTGAGCCAGGCTGCCGGAGACTATGAACACTTTGCTCCATGGTCTTTGGTAAGTCAGATTTTGTCAAGGCACCTTCTTCCAAGTCCATGGCCGGAGGCTCCAGGAGCTCCGCAGGAAGGCTGCTGAAGCTGAGCGCCGAAGGCGTGTCTGTTTGAAACTCCATGCTGTTATCCGTCATGGCTGCTCCTGCCCCCGTGCAGAAGAATTTCACCCTACACTGAAGACAGAGGGAAAGAAGCACTTGGCATTAAAGAAAGGCACCACTGACCAACAGGGGACAAGCAACTTTGTGGGCCACAGCTTCCACTGGCCTTCAAAGGAGCTGCCCCTTTCAAGCCAGAAAGGAGCTGGTGCTGTGGTTTTTGGATGGAAAGAAACAGCAGAGCAAAACTAAGAGAAGCAGGGCTGGACTGACAAAAGTTTGCCAAGCTGGTCTGAAAGAGCAGCTCTGCAGAGTCCCTCCTAGCACAGAACTCACATGGACAGCATGAGACAAGTTTGTAAACCCATGCTGGAGTTGTCTATATTACCGGGGGGGGGGGGGGGGGGGGGG